GTAGAAAGGACGCAAAGCAATTGCAAAGATCACATCGATCATCTCCTTAAACCTCAACAAAACCTGACATTATAATACTCTTTTGGTTTTGTGATTGAATGAATGTACGCATATTTGTCTCATCTCCTTATAAGTTTTCTTCAGATTTTGATTTGGAACTTAATAATATTTAAAATTATTTATTGGATGAAAAAAATCCTTGGCATCACAAATGTTAGATTTAAAGAAAATTCTTTCGTGAGATGGATAACGATATATACGGTTAAATAATAAAACGTATTTTGTAATATTATGTCTATATGTTCCTAGGTGAGATAATTTGTTAACTGGGGTCCAACAAATTTTTTATTTAGATGAGAAATTCAATGGAGGAAAGTAAAACCCTAACCCTAGCGTACAATGTGGGCTTGGTCATAATTTGAATTGTTTGGAAAGATTGATTATTTAATTTAAAGTTGGAAGTAGAAAAGCTAAAGTTGAGTGAGCTCCATCATTGCTCTTGTTGGCATTCATATGAACATGGTCAAGCGTGAAAAATATGAGGCAGTCCAAAAGTACAAGCAAAATACCACTTACTTCCCTCTGATTTTAGGCACTAGTGTGCAAGAAACATATTACTATTCTATGATTAATCCATATATATCAGTTCAATGAGTATGTCTACATGGTTCAGACAAATTAAAATCAAAACATCTTAACTAAATAATTATTTTATGTAAGAAATTTTTTAATGAAATTCCATCAATAAAAGTTGAGTTTTGCGTACAAATAAGAGGTTACAAAATTATACCTTTTTCTATTACCAAAAAAAAAAATTCTATAAATTCTACCAAATCTTGTTAACAAAAGTTATGTAAGAGTTAACTCTTTCAATGAAAATTAATATCCTTATTCTAAAAGGTTAAAGGACACTAACAAAAGAGATGGACTATACATATAAGATACTGATTTGAAATTGCAACCGTTAATTTAATGTTAACAATATGTTAACTGTTAACCCAAAGTTTTATTTGATTAGTGAAATTTTTATTTGATTCTAATCTTTAGTTACTAATCATATAGTATTTTTATTTTGGAAAAACTCATATGAGGAGAGGATTATCCATCGTTATCGAGGATAAATAATACAATCAAGTAAATTCCCTTAAAAAAATTTAATCATCCCTTTCATAAATCTTTTTTTTTTTTTTTTAATTTTTTTCAAACAATTAATTTTTTATTCAAGGTTTATGGGCCGTGGATGTTGGACTTGCTCTATTTACGGGTTATTGGGCTTATCATTAAAGGTTTGTACCACTAATGGGCTTGAAGTTGTCACAATGGGCCCATCTGGTGAGGGAGGCCTCGAATCTAATGGGCTTATCATTAGGAGTTGTACCACGAATGGGCTTCAGTTGTTACAGTAGGCCCATCTAGTGAGGGAGGCCGAGAATCTAATGGGCTTAAAGTTATCTCTTTGCATGATATTTTTAGGGATTGTGCCGGTTAGGTAAAAGCTTGAAGTATTTTGGTAGTTTCATATATTTTGTAATATTAAAATTAAAAATACTTTTACAACTTTATACTTGTAACATAAAACTTACATTGGTATACATTGCAAATCTTGTTTTCTAGAAACCACAATGGACACATCACACATCCACGAGACCTAACTTTTGATGGTACTAGTGATGTAGCTTAACTCCTCGCCAATCGACTATCAAATTTTCAACGAGTAACAACATTATCAAGATTATGTCGACTTATTTTTCAGGCATAATCATATCATAAACTATTTATGCTAGTACGATCTTGATGGGGTCGATGGTTGACAATTTAAATAACTAAAATAACTATATTTATTTAACTTTTTACCATTAAACATATCGTTTAGTTAATGTATCTCATGCTTCTTAATGTTATGATCCCCGCCGTTCACTTAAAAATAAAAAGTATTTTCAATGATTTTATTTTATTATTAAATAATTGTGCCCATAGTATTACACTAATAATGTTGGATTGAGCCCACAGCCACAATTTCCACGTTTCTAATATTGGTATCTCCAAATTTTTCAAAGAACATATACATATACAAAGTTTAATAGAATCTCCGAGTAATTACTAGAGTGGTGATTCTGAAAATTTAAAGGTCAAAGTATCAAAGTACAATTTTAATCCTTAAAGTTTCTCTAAAGTCTTAATCAAATATTCGTAGTCCAATTTAATTTTATTAATTTAGTATATGATCATAATCAAATTTTCAACTTTTATTCATCATCCCATAGTTTTATTTTGGAATTTTTCAAATCAAAACTCATCTTATTAAGAAGTTAATTAAATATATTAATCCAAAAATTATCACACCTTGTTTGAAAAACTCTAAAATTTTCTATAATTTTATTTTTAACAATAATTTTAGAATCTATAACAAAATTCTTATTAAAAAATTTAAAAATATATCTTTCTTGAAAAAAATATTTTATCTTTATCATAAACTTCATAGTATATAATTTTTATTAAGATCCAATTGGGAAACACATGCAAAGTCTAGAATCTAAGCTATGACAACTAAATCTGATTAATACAAATCCAATTATTTAACATTATATAAATAAAATATTCAAATTCAACCTAATGATGATGCATAGAATCATAGCACAATCAAAAAATATTACGCAATCAGAAAACGTGACATTTTAAATTATCTTTTCCAATTTGGATAACACATTGTTATGTCACCAGTGACTTAAATTTGAATGAGGTTTCTTGTTGACCAATTAATTATGACTTTAATTTTATCTACTTTTTTTTTTTTTTTTTTTTAAATTTCTAGAAGAGGACTATTGGTTATTAATTAATTATTCTCATTAAACCAATGGCAAACATATAATGTATTCTCTTTATTACACTTCAATTTGATTTTGACTGTTATCGGCATAAAGTATCGGATAATAACATTATTGATCATATTATAAAATATTAAATTGAAGTTGGTAACACTATCCGTATAACACTTTAATTTTAAGTATAATATTTTTTAATTATCTCGAATGTACTCTTTGTTGGGTTTAAAAATAATGGGATTTATATTATTTTGTAAAATTAATGATACATTAAGTGGGTTAATAGTTTTAATTGCAAACTAAACTAATTATTAGTTTAATATATAGTTAATTTTCTCGTTCGATCTTATCAAATCTTCTTGATTAGGTGAATTTAATATTTTGATAAATTGAATTAGATTCATCTATTAAAGTTTTGACTTGATTAGTTTATTTAATGTGTTTTTTTTTTTATTTAAAGAATATTTTTATTTAATAAATCTAGAAATAAAAAAATAAAAAGTATTAAGCTGACTCTAATATAGGTTTGGATACCTCAATTATTGTACCTAAAAAATAAAAAAATAAAAAGGCTATGCATATCATGTTTTGACGTTGGAAGGAATCCTTAAGCTAAGCTTATTACTAATTAATTAATTAATTAAGCAATGAAATTGCGTGAAGGAAGAGCAAATTTGAACAGTTAGTTAAAGTTATATTGGAAAAGGAATCAACTGGTAAATTCCAAATATTAGATTAATTTTCTAATTAGCAGACTTTAGGAAACCATTAATTAATTAACTAATTATAAAATTAATCTAGTCACTTGCTTAAACAAAAGAACAACTCAAGAAATATTTTTCTTCATCAATTTGAAATTATTAAAAACTATCCATCACCATCGAATGTTTGAAATATGATTAAATTTATGGATGATCATTCATTAACCAAGAAATATTTAATTAAAAATGCAAGTCCTTTTCATTTTGACAAGGATAAATTTGTTTATTTTAATAAGAAGAATCTTGGTGTACTGTTTGGACTGCATTGACTGAAATTTTAGGTGTAATTTCCTAATATTAATGGTAAAATTTAGTGTTTTAGTGTATTGGACAATAGTAATGAGGTAAGAATGTCTCGTTTAGACCCAATTCAATGGTCGGAACTCTCGATTTGAGATTATACGTTTAAATATGATCTAATTATTCATATATTATTATTGTTATTTCGATATATAACATCTTTGCTTTAAAGATATAAGATAGCAAAGGGTGATTGACAGAGTTGATTTAAACAACTTTTGAATATCCACAAACAATATAATGTCAAATGCAAAAAAACATCATATTACAATTATGGATCCTTATACGTTCAAATCACAAAAACATCATATTACGATTATGGATCCTTATACGTTCAAATCACTAAAACATCGTGTTACGAGTTGGGTATTACCGATGATATAAACGAATTTTGAATATTCACAAACGATACGACGTAAAATTGTTTGAACATTCCAACTGAATTTTTACAACCTATAAACTAGGTTAATTATAAAGGGCGTTGTTCTCAATTATTCATGAATTCTGGATTCTACTATACTCCAACAATTATCACAGAAAAATTGTGTTAAAGCACTTTCAACCCAATTTCATGAACTTACCAAAAAACATTTAAAAATAAATCACTTTCTTTAATGATAGTAGCTGGTCCAGAAACTTTACATCTATAACCACCCAGAAAAATTCCCAAATCAATACATAAAAGCTAGATGCAAAAGCAAATTAATTATATTAATCAATTAACTAACCAAGATATATATTATAATTAAAGATGATGAAGATTGAAGATCATCCTTTCTTTTGATATGGAGGCAGGTATATTTTGCTTAAAACGCCAAACTTTTATAAATGAAGAATTGCATGTAGCACATGTTTATGTTAAATATTTGGTGAATTAATTATTTAAAAAAAAAAATAGAACCACGCCCAATTTTTAAACCAAAAATGGGATAATTTTTGTGTCATTGGTGACAAAACTTTTGGACCAGTGAAGATTGAATTTGATTTCTTAATTAATTAATTTTGCTTCTAGAGAAAAAAAAAAGGTTACAAAATTAAAAGCTTCATTGGGTCAACTCCCGCTCCTTTATTCTTCTTCTTCAAGCCAACCAAACATGTAATTAATTTCTTATTCAAACTTCAATTCAAAACACCTTATAGAAGCCTCTAGACTCCCCCCAATTCCTCCCTTAAATCCCCATCTTCCCCACAAAATTTTCTCACCATAGTTCCTCTCCAAATCACAAACCCTAATCTACAATTCTCTCTCAATCACAAATCCTAATTTTTTTTTTTTTAATGGGTACTTTAGTGGGACATGTTGCACCGGGATTTGCCTTCTTGGCACTTGGGTTGTGGCATCTTCTGAACCACATCAAGCTCTATTCTCTCCACCCAAATTCGTATACTTCAACTCCATGGTTTCCCTCTTCAAAAATAAAATACATAGAGCTCTACTTAATCATGCTTGGAAGCTCCATTTCCGTGGCCATGGAGCTCTTCATTGGCCCTGAAAAACACCAGCCTTTCGACGCCGATGGAACCATTCCTTCCAACCATCTCCACAACTTCGAACACGCGACAATCTCCCTTACTTTCTTCACCTATGCAGCTTTCGCGATTCTCCTCGATCGAATTCACTGCAAAAGAAATACCCGAGATGCATTAACGCAACTCCTCGGCGCCGTAGCCTTTTCCCAGCAGCTTCTCCTGTTTCATCTTCATTCGGCTGACCACATGGGAGTCGAGGGACAGTACCATTTGCTTCTGCAAATCGTCATTCTCGTTTCTTTAGCCACAACCCTAATCGGAATCGCACTCCCGGGGAGTTTCTTGACCAGTTTTGTTAGGTCAGCTAGTATTCTTTTCCAGGGAGTGTGGCTTATTTTGATGGGGTACATGCTGTGGACTCCTGAATTTATCCCAAAAGGGTGTTTCATTAATGTTGAGGAAGGTCACGAAGTGGTGAGATGCCATGGAGAGGAGGCTTTACATAGAGCTAAATCACTTGTGAACATTGAATTCAGCTGGTTTTTAGTGGGAATTACCATATTTTCAGTGGGTTTATATGTGATTTTGGGTAAAATTATTGGAGAAAAGATTGAGTATGCAACACTGAGTAGAGAAGATGAGTATACTTCTGATGATGTTGAGTCACAAGAGGACACAAAAGATGGTGCCACAAAGAGTAATTTTATTGGTATGGGGAAAGGAGGATTTATTGCATCAATTGACATTGAAAGATAGAGAGGGTGATCATTATTCAAGATGATGAAGTAGATTTGTTGATTATGTGCACAAATTTGATTTAATTAAGGAGGGTTGGTGAAATCCCATATGCCATTTTAGTTATCTTTTTTAGTCCACGTTGATGGAAAAGGTGTTGGCTTAAAGATATTGAAGCAATTGATGATGGCTTGTGGAAAACATTAATTAAAAGTGGTATGCTTTCTAGATGGGACTTATTAATTGGTGTGGAATTGTTTGGTGCATTGTATTGATGGATTTTAGGTTATTTCGTGGCTGTTTGTATAGAAAAAAAATTGAAGTTAGTAAAAGCAACAAGCTAGCTAGCTATTTTTATAATTAATTTCTTCCATTATTTGCTTCTATTTTATCAAATTCTTTATTATTTTGCTTGCAAAAATGATCACCTTATTCAACTTCTTGACATATATTAGTGTTTAGTTTATTGAACTAAATAAACATGATTTATATGAAGAACATTTGTGTGAAACCGAAAAGAAATTTGCATGGAAAATGAAAATAAACATCATCAATTCTACTTGATTGGATTCAAGCTCTTGCGCATTATGAGATGGGTATTTAATAGTAATTCAATTTGTATGCAAAAAGGGTTGGATTTAGACCATGAAATTTAAAGAATAATTTTTGTTCCCATTTAGTAATATTGTAGAGTTATGAAAATAATTAGATGAATTCTTGTCCATGCAGAAAGAACAGATATATTTGTTTCTCCATCAAGAAAGGTGGCTGCTTCTGCCACCTTGCCATAAACTCAAAATATATATTCATAATTCATGAATTTATAATTTCAAGGCAATCTCTAACTTTGAAAATGACTCTGGCTGCGCAGTCTTAATAATATTATTTAACAATAATAATAATAATGAATAATCAATTTTCATTCCTTATTAATTTATTATGATTATTATTTTATTTAATATTTAAAGAATAATTGTTAGGTTGTAAATTAAATAATGAATATTGGGATTTATGGTCTGACAAGAAAGTGTGGGCAGCTCTCAGGGCCACAAGATTAGGATAAGAAATATTTGTGTAGGCCATATGCCTTTTTGTTTTTTATGTTAAAGGTGATTGAAAGCCTTCAAAGAGTACTATCTGATTAGGTGAATGAACAAACAACCATGGATATAATTCTATAAGGAAAGAAAAAGAAAAAGGAAAAGAAATATAAAATACAAAGATTAATTTATTTATTCGTTTAGATAAAAAAAAATTATGACATATTTAAGGAAATTATCAAAGACCTTCTTATAAATATAAATATAAAAAAAAAAAATTGTACAAATATAGAAGAAAACCCCTTAAAATGGTATAAAACCTAGTAATAGAAGGATTTTTACTAGTTTTTTTAAATTGTTAGGCGCTTGAGATTTTTACGGTATATAAGGTTGAACGAAATTAACCTATAATTTTCTTGATCCATATATAATTTTCAAGTTTTGAAACTCTTTTAAAAAATAATATATTATAACAGCCTCTATAACATTCAAGTTTTGAAACTCTTTTTTGACCCATATATAATTTTCTTGATCTTGGTTGATTTTGTATATTTTTACGCTTTGAATATGGAATTTTGAATTGTAAAAGAATAATTTATGAAATTACTTTTAGTGTTATATAATTTGAATAACATGCATAGCATAGTTCTGAGATTATTTTTAATTCGTATAAAAATAGACATATAATATAAGATCTTCAAAATCTCTTGGGCAATAGATTTCAAGATACACATTTGTCTTTTGTTGTGTGTCTTATTGAAAATAAAAATCAAATAGAGGAATCTCCCCTCCCCCAAATCCTCTCTCCACTATAATTTAAAAAATTAGTTAACATGCACTTTAAGGTAACATATTAATTAATTTTATATAAATAATATGTTAAATGATAAATATTATTTCTCTAATTAATATAAATATACTAATTTTCATCTATCTACAATTCTTCATCGATATTTAATTAATTTTTAAAGAGAATCAAGTTCTTAAAAATGAAAGAGGTAATTGAAATAAATCTAAAAATTAAAAATCAATAATAAAACAAATTATAGAAGTGGATAGAATTTTAATTTTTTTTTTTTTTTTTTTTACATTAATCATTTTATTTTTAGCTTGACAAAATTTTCTCTAATAATTATTTATACATATACCCAAAGCATGCATGAATGAATTATCAATAAAAACAATATTAAACATGTTGTAATTATAATAATACATAAGAAAAAAGCTTCATCGCAGATGCAAAGTATCAAATGCTTAGCAACAAAGTCTAATCAATATAATTGTTTAATTAGCTTCTCTCATCATATTACAAAATGTATCAATCACAAAGATTTTGATTCACAAATAAACCACGTAAATTCAAAAAAACATTTACCTCATTGGTTCTTCATATATTAATATATAAAAAATTAATTAATTAATCAATCAACAAACATAATCTTCGAGCATTGTGTTGATTGTCATGTTATATGAGGCAATTCCAAGACATATATCCCCACCACCATCACCACCTTTTTCTCCAAAAATGAAAGCTCCCCAATTGGCATTTCTTTGCTTTCTCGTTATATTATCATTCATTTCTTATTTCTTTCACGCAAGCCATGGAAATAATGTAATGTGACTCACGCTAAAGCTTTTATCTAAGCACACGCCATTCCCCAAATTGTGTTACCAGAATATTTGGATGTATATAAAGGTTTGTCTTTTAAATCTTCATTCAGCATAGAGCCATATTGATGATGATGATAAATGTATAAAAATTGTAAGATATTATTTTGTTTCTTGATAACATATATGTGTATGTGTATGTATTTTGCGTGCAAGATATTATTGTTCATCTACGACGATATTATGTTTGTATACGTAGTGAAAGTATTGTGAAGCCAAAAAGGGAGCGTTTCACTTAAGTATATTCAAGTCAAAATGGGGTCGTTTTGTTTAAGACCATTACCAAGTTTCAGCCGTCAGATCAAGACACGATCCAAGGGCTGAGAATTACTGATGCAGAAGTATATAAGAAGAGCAACAGTGATAAAATTAAGAAGAACGCGTGTTTTGTTAATCTGTGTATTAGGGTTTGCAGAAGAGGGATAAACACTCGGGCTGGGTTGTGTGCTGAATCTTTCTGGGTTAATCGGGTTGAGTGAGAGAGGGTTGCTGTTCCTTCTAGAGGCTGGTATTTGTCTTGTTCTTGCAGATTATGAGAGGTTTTGAGTGTTTAGGCCTTGGTGGGGTTAGTCTGTTTTAGGCAGATTTGTAGTCTTGTTCTTCTTGTAATTGTTTAAATCTTCATAGTGCTGTGGGCTCCATATTTCGGAGCTCAACGTGGATGTAGTCTATCCAAGATTGGATAAGCGAACCACGGTAAAACTGTGCCTTGTGTTGTGTGTGTGTGATTCTCTTGATTTTAACCTTGTGTGTGTTGTTTGTGTTGCGATTTTGCTTATTAGGCTTAGGTTATAACAGTGGTATCAGAGCTGAAAAGTTCATAGGGATTTAGGGTTAGTAATCGTCTGGTCTTGTACAAATTCTAAAATTAGGGTTTGTCAGATTTGGGGGTTTTTCGATTTCAAGATTCTAGACCGTTAGGACTTCAGATCTTGCTAAGTCTTGGGGCTAATTCGTGAGATTAAGTTACAACACAAGGGATCGACGAAATTCGTACAAATTCTAAAATTAAGGTTTGTCAGATTTGGGGGTTTTCGGATTAAAGGCTTATAGGGTTAGGGGTGTCGAATAGTCCTTGAATCAGGTCGAATTGGTTAGTCTGAGTCACAAACACAAGTCAGAGGAGAAATCTGGGTATTGTCTAAGGGGCTGTAGTAGTCTTGTCACTCAGTCTTGTTTGTGTCTTGCCTTGTGTGATACAGTTTAAGGGGATTTAGGCTGGAACACCAGTAAATGCCTTAAAAACTGCCTGGCAGTAATTGGCGAATTCTGGTATAACAACGCCACGTACCCTTTGACTGTTCTGTTCTGGTACTATAATACAATGAGCACTACTCGTATGGGATCACCAATATGATGGGAAGATCGATTTAATACATGGAAAAAGGAGTGAAAGCCCTTCTTTCGCATAATAAAGTCGGGCTTGCCCTAGAAAAGGATGCCACAAGTGGTCTGAAGAGAAACTGAAAAAGAAGGCTGAAGTGGATGAGGAGGCCTACAATCTTATCATAATGAATCTGTTCGATGCAGTCCTGCGAAAGGTTGATGGCATGGAAACACCACTCACACTCTGGGGTAAACTCGAATCCCTTTATTCCTTACAGTCGCACCAAAACTTAGCATTCTTAAAGGAGCCTATTTTCTATTAAGATGGATGTTACTAAGCTGTTAGAAGAAACCTTGATGAGTTTCTTAAGATGACATTAGTATTGAAAGGTACAGATCCGGAGTTGGGTGACTCAGTTTAGCAATGATATTGTTAAATTCACTGCCTGATGAGTACTTGGTGGTGAAGAATGCTTACAATACACTGGGACAGTTCCCAATGTTGACCTGATATAGGGTCTAAATCTAGGGAATTGGAGTTGAAAATACAGAAAAGGAATGTAATGACCTGTTTGTCAAAGGTAGATCAGATCCAGGGCAATCAGGAAGGGATAGCAATAAGAATTTTCAACAACACATAAACCCTAGGGCTAAGAAAAAGGGGAAGAATAACAAGTCTAAGGAGGAAACTAGGAAGTGTTTCACTGTAATAAACTAGCCACCTTAAGAAGAATTGCTAGATTTGATAAGAACAAAACAGCAAAATACAGAGAGTAACCTAGCTAGCACTAGCACTGGCATTGAAGTTTTAGAAGCCCTCACTATCTCAAACCATGCTAGCAGTAAGGAATGGGTCTAGATTCAGGGGCACTTTTCATATGAGTCCAACATCAATGGTTCCAGAACTTTAGGAGGGAGAGTTAGAAACTGTCTTCATGGGCAATAATCACTCTTGTAAGGTTCAAGGCATAGGAAACATAACCATTAGGTTGAATAATGGCAAAATCATAATGTTAACCAGAGTGAGGTATATACCTGACCTCAAAAGAAACTGGTCTCCTTGGGAACTTTGGATGAAGCTGGATGTAGTTATAAGGCAGAAAAGGGATCTATAGTGGTGTACAAGAATAATGAAATATACTTGAAGGGGGCAAACAAAATGGGCTGTACATTCTGTGTGGTCAACATGTGCACTCACTGTAAAGTCTGCATTATCATCTACAAATCTGACTGCTGCAGAGAAATGGCATTTGAGACTGGCCACATAGGCCAAAAAGGTATGACAGTGTTAAGCAACATGGGTACTTTGGTAAGGAATCAATATCTGATT